TGTTAGTTGAACACTGCTGCTGTGTTTTGGGTTTTTTGTTGGCTTCCCTCCCCCCGCCCCCTTTCTCCTAAGTCTTCTTTTGCCTTACAACTTTGTCTTTGCAGGATTTTCTATCCAGTGCAGGGAGTACAAGTTCCCTCCCCCACCCCATGTTTTCATACCCATTTCCAGATAGCACGAACTGGTGTGTGAGGATTTCCCTCCTTCCCAGCCCACAGTTCTGGTTTTCTAGTAAAACATAAGTGGCTTTGCATAAATTCATATGAAAATACAGTTATGTGATGCTTGGAAATTAAAATGCACCGTCTAATGATAGTGCCCTCTGGCCTTCATTAGGGCTGGTGGCCCTGCTGTGGTATAAGCCTGTACAAACCCTTCTACAGAACATCTGACAACCAAGTTGTCATGATTTTTAAAAGCAGGAAGTGCAGTAGCAATTGCTCATCTTTTTCTTTTTTAATTCATTTTGTTATTTTATAAAGCTCACAGAAGCAGCAGAATCTACTTTGGCATGGAAAGATGATCAAAGTCTGCTTTCTTATATGTGGCCTCTTGTTGTATTTCATTACTTGATCTTTCAATTTCCACACATGGAAGGAGAGATACCTACCCAAATCTTCATGTACCATGCAAAGAGGGGGAAAAAAAAAAAGAGCACTCGAGGGAAGCTAGCTGTCGTCTGGTCTTGTGTAAGATAACCAAATCCCGTCTGGGTAGAAAATATGCTACTTTGAAAGTACAGCAGGTCCTTTGGCTTGGATTAGTTGTTTTGGTTTTTGTATAGAGAAACTTTAAAAATAATGAAGTTATATTAATAAATTGGAGACTTTCTATGTTTGCTAAAATCATTATCTCCGGAATGTGAAAACAGAACAAAAAAGAAAACCAAGAAAATCTTCACTCTAGGACACCACACCTGTTAGTTTTCTGAAGAACAGGATCACGTGCTGGAGATACAAAGAGTAGAGATCAGTAGCTTTCTTCAAAGGCCACCATTGTATTTTCATAAAAGTATTTCTTTCTTGGTGTGGTTAGTTGGAACATTTATCTGAACAGCCAGGTTGACTTTGGTCTATCTTCTATATTTTTGGCATTCTTGGCTCTTAGGTGAAATAGCCCTGTGGGTGAAATTGCCTTGTAGCTGTAATTTCTTTAATACAGCTCCACTTCTTTGGTGCAGGCATACTCTGGGTATTATTTGCATGGTAAAAACAAGCTACTCAATTCCCAGGCTTGTCTACATCTAATGGCTACGTTCCACAAACATACCCAGCCTGGCTTCCAGGTGGTTTATCTTCCTCTTCAACCATTACTAGTAGCATTAGTGCTAGTAGTCATGTATTAACTCTCAACTCCAGGTCCACATTCACACAAAATCTTGGAGCAGAATTTAGCCACAGCATAGCCCTTAAAACCTTTTAATCTGGTGTTTGAGAAAGTACAGAAATCAAACTGTTGGATGACTTGTGGTTCTACTCTATTAACTTATTTTAACCATTTGAATAAGGTTGGATTTGCAAATCTGTTGCAGTAGCTTTTTAAGACAACAGTGTATTTAATAGTGTATTTCCTTTAAATATATGCATCCCTACTGAATAAAAACAATGATAATTTTTTTTAAATTTTGTTTTATTTTTTGTATTTGTGTTCTCTTCTGCTGAAGAAGGTAAAAAGGGAGAGATTCTGTCTGCAGACTGTTAGAGCAGCGTCCTCCGGAGATCTGCACAGCAAAGATGTGTACTACTTCATTATTTTATAGCAACAGGTGTGCTGGCTTAGCACAGAGTAAAGCTCTCATGCTTTCTCCCCTTCAATTATACCTCTTCTGGAGCTGGCAGCTGCAACAGAGATCAGCATCCTCCCCTGCTGTACTGAGCCTTGGTAATTTGTTATTCCATATGGTTGAGGTCTGCAACCTGATGAGAAGCTCAGTGCCTTACACAGGGGCAAGGGGAGCAAGAAAGGTATGCACCTCGCTTCATGTTTTGAACTTCTGGCATCCTTCCATACTTGCGAAGGGCCCGGTTCCTGCTCATGTCTTCACTCCTGAGTGAACAGCATTCAGAATAACTCCTCTGTGACTCTGGTGGGAGCAGCTAGCCTGCAAAAAAGCCCGTGAGCTGCAGAGAGATCAGGTTATGGCAGTGAGTGACTGTCTTGGAGTTGCACTAATTGGAGCGCTGTGGTCTCTGTCCTGCCTGATGTGGCCTTTCAGGGCTTTTCCTCCTCATTTAAGCTTGTATGTATGCAGGGAGGATGTGAATTAGGGGCAGCACTCAATGTAATTCTGCAGTGATGTTTTTGAGACTATTTGTGCTGTATTGATACCAGTTGTATTTTTTTATTTTGAAGAATTTGGCATTTAATCATTTGAGGTTGAAGTAGTTGGACAAAAAGTGTAGGTTTGCATGAGAGAGAGCTGGGAAGAGCAGACTTGTTCTTATTTCAAGGCCTTCTAAACTTCACCAGTGGATCTGCCCAACAGAAGAAAACATGCATATATACCATGGAAAAATCTGGCACTGCTTTATTTTAATTACAGAAAACACACAGAAAATATCCTGTTCTCCTGCTATTTTAAAATGCTATAAATTGTGTGGCTTTCTGTGATGTTGTGTATGTCATTGTTTAATGTGAGATGGGGGAGGGGTAAGGCAGGTGAAGTGCTTTCTGCACAAATTGACTTCAGAAAAGTTAATGGCTTGACCTTCATCCATAGGAAAGGAAGAGATAGGAAAGCTGTGTTTTTAATGCTCGGAAAAGTAAGGAAGAATCATAAAGACAGGAAAGGGAAAATACTTTTTAACACATGATCTCATTGTTTCTTTTTTCACTGGTAATTTATTAGCCCAGCAAATGTTGACTATGACAATTAAATAGTGCTTGACCTTACTGCAAAAGGACTGCTAGGTTTAACGGAATGAGCTTAATTCTGAGAGATCCTGATAGTCGGAGAGATTGGATTTGACATTTACTGTGCTGTGAATGAGGGGATTTGTGATGTCCACCTGAATGTGGAGTAACTTTTTGTTTAATAGCTTTTTCCGGTGATGCGTGAGAAGGATTGCATTAGAGACAAGCGACGGCTGAGGGAGATGCAGCTTCTCCTGGGTGTTTTGCAATTGAGAACTTCCGTAGAATGGCAGATGGATGTGTTTTGTTTCTGAAAATGCCATAATTATGAACTTTATATATTCCTTGTAAAGTGGAGTTGGTTAAAATTTTCACTTCTAAACAAACCTGCTTAGAGATGATATCTGCCTCAGATATTTGAGATCTGTTAAAAAGCTGCTCTAAGAAAGTGAGACATCAGATTAAATCTTTAAAACCTGCTTCTGACTCTAACAAACAGCCTTAATTTCAGCAGTGAGTGGTTTTTTTTTTTCAGTGTATGTTCAAGGAATATCGCTGAGATCAAACTTTTCGTGCATTAATGCCAGTAGCGGGCAAAAATCTGGTGGCTTAATTGCTTTCTTAAGTATAAGCCAAAAAAAAAAGAGCAAGGGAACTTTTTTTTTTGATTAATCTGTGACTTGCTTTAGAAATATAGAGTGAGTTTTATGTATGGCATCCTTTTGTATCCTTTTTAAACACGAGTGTGGACCTCTGGCCTGGTCTATGTGTTGAGTAGTGTCCTAATACTCTTGGATTCCATGATACTCACTTAAGTATATGAATGCTTCTGTATAAGCAAAGTGCTGGAAGAGTAAAAATGTCCCAGTGTCTTGGAAGAACCTGTTTGTCTTGGCAAGAAGATGTTGGGGTTTTTTTGTGATCAGTTTGTAATTCAAGCCTTTTGGTTTGTATAGGCTTGTTGTGTATGCGTGCTCCCGTTCCTCTTCTGTGTGCCTACCAGGTGTTGGGGACAGGGCAGGAGTCTCAGGGAGAGGCCATGGTAGCCTGGCTTGCTTTTGCTGGTTTTTGTGGGTTTTTTGGCACCCTCAGTGGAAGGCAGGCTATCCTGGGAGGTTTCTTCCAGTCCTGCTCGACCATAGAGCTGGGAAATGAAGATGCTGAAGGGGAACAGATGTGGAGAGGAATAACTTTTTTATTTCACTTCCACTTGTTTGTGCACAGGTCTCCTTCTCCCTGCCCTTGCCTCTCCTCTTCCCCCCATCACCCAAAAATCTCAATCTATAACAAGACTAGCTTTTAGTCCTTTGAGTGGCTTGTGCTTTGCTGTGAGGCATTCAAAGACAGAAGCTGAGGCACTGGAAAAAGAGCTGATTCTTTTATCTTAGTGTATCTGGTATCATATTCATATTGTCAGTCAAAAAGAGACCTTTGTTTCCTGCTGGTGAGGAGGCCTTGGGAGTGTGGTGAGACAAGTGGTTTCTGATGTGTGTTTCTCTGACCCCAGAGTAGCATATAGTTGGAGCTCAGTTGCTGCTCAGTTGGTTTTTTTAAATTACATAATTTTGTTTAAATTGCACATTTTGTAAACTGACTTGAGGAGTTAATAACTGTTTTAGTACTAACTTGTAAGAACATAGTCCAAGTTAAAAATAAAATTACATCTGTTGGGACGAGGTTGAGTTCAAGGCAGGTTAGTATTATAGTCTTCAGAAAAAAATATCTGTCCTTATTAGCATGGCTTTGGGTTACAGTCCATTACATGATTAGCAGGATCACAACTGCAGCAAAACGAACTGCATGTCAGCATTGTAAAGCACCTACTTCCCAGCATTTCTTTGTGTGAATAAAACTAAAATATAGAATTGTGGTTTGTTCTTGGCTCTTCTTCCTTGGCCCTCTGTGAAAACAAGCTGCCATCTGGCAAACCAGGTAGCTAGCACGATCACTATGAATTCAAGATATGCAGTAACTGGATATGAAGAAAAAATTTCTTGCTTAGACATGCACTCCTAGATTTGACTGCCTTGTTTTTAAGACAGATGCGAATTTTCCCTAGGGGAGGAAGAACATGGTTTTTTTCCCCTGTATAGCCTAGTCCTTGAAAATTGAGTCTCTAACGCTTTTCCCTCTTTCTCCCTTTCCAGTCCTTCCTCCGGTGCTGGTTCCAAGGCACAGCGAGTACAACCCTCAGCACAGCCTCTTGGCCCAGTTCCGCAACCTGGGGCAAAACGAGCCCCACATGCCGCACAACGCTACTTTCCCAGACTCTTTTCAGCAACCCAATAGTCACCCGTTCCCCCACTCGCCCAACAGCAGCTATCCAAACTCACCTGGAAGCAGCAGTAGCACCTACCCACATTCTCCAGCCAGCTCAGACCCAGGAAGTCCTTTCCAGATGCCAGGTACAGTCAACTTCTCTTCCTGTTCAGAAGGGAGATGGTGGTTAGACATCACCGGTATCATGATTTTCTTTGGTTAATAATACCAAATGATCAGCCAACACTTGTGTTCAACAGTGAGCTGAGATGTAAGGTGAGAAAGACTATGTAATTGCTTTGTCTAGTAATAATATTGAGGGTTTTAATGTTGTGCCTCTTTCAAACACAGTTAAAACATTATAGTAAAACTCTTCTGGGGTGGGGGGAGGGATTCAAAATGTTTTGGGAACGAGTTCAACTCTTCAGCCCACAAAGCGTGGTGTTTAATGCACAAGAAATGTAATGCTACAGATCATCCTTGCTTAGGAAAGACATCATCGTAAATTCAGCACAAGGCTTTAGTTCTGCAGAAGAAGGATGTTTCTCAAGGGGATCATGCTACTGCAACTTGGTGATAAGATTTCTTCACATAATGATGTAGTTTTAGGAAACAAATATACTTCCACTGAAAAACAGTTCCTTAAGGCCCTGAAAAAAAAAATCTTCAGGCTGTTTTACTTCCTAAAGTAAAAAAGAAGTAACAACTGTTATTGTTGACTGATGTCTGTAGAAAATTCTGTGAAGCTGTATTTTTTTTGGTCTTTATATGCAGATGGATAAAAATACTGCAGAAGCAGTCTGTGACAGACTTCTTGATTTAAATGCTAGGAGAAGGACTCCATACAAATGCTTACTGATGTTCTGCTTGCATGTTTTCTTCAGGGACTGAGGGCGTGTGTATGTAAACAAATGGGCAAACTTGTGAAAATCTGTTTTCTGTTACATGAAATCAACGTCCATAGATTTCTGCTGCTGATGGTTGTTTCTCTTTGAGATTTTTCTCTTGTGAGTGAAGGCTACTGAATTTGCAGAGTCAGAAGGGAAGGAAAGAGAGTTTGCATTGGCTTTTCTAAAAAATATGAAAACCAGCTGTCTTTCCTTCCTTTATTTTTTTTAAATATGATTGATGTGGCTGGGGCTCTTCCAGCAGAGATAAAGGCTTCCTTAAGAAGGTCTTCCTGAACACTGGCTTGTGCAAGTTCAGTTGATCCTTGAGGGGACTGTTCTGTCTGTGTGCCTGTAAAGACAAGTCAGCAGTTGTAGTGAAGAAATTGAATGAGAGAAGAGGTCAAGATCTTGATGTCCTTGATGCTTATCTCTGGGCAGTTGGCTGTCTTGCACTAATGGGTAAAGAGGCTGAATTTTGGAAAATACAAAAAAAGGAGCAAACCATTTATCTAGACATCTTGAAAACTTTGTAGATACTGGCTAATTTGTTGCCTGTGGCTTTACAGTCTTGTTTCCCTATCCATGTGTCACTGACATCATGTTGCCACACACATGAATGTTTAAGGCTTGGTAAAACACGACTGTGCAGACTGTTAAGCTTTTAATGCAGTCCTGTTGTCATCTTTGTCTTTCTCTTTTGCTCTCTTGTCCAACTGATGGTATTCAAGCAAAGGAATTAACAAAGTACCTGCCAGCCTTAGATGTAAAACTCTCAACACGGTGTCTCCTAAACAATAAGCAGTCAATAGATTTCATTAACATGTGTTTTCTTTAAATCCCCCCCCCAAACAACACCAAAACAACAAAGAAACCAGACAAAAACCCAAAACTTACAAGCAGTGGTATGATTCTCTTGCCATTTGTTGATGCTAATTTGGTTTTCAGGGTTTTGGAGGCCCCTGTGTTTATTTGCTGTGGTAGTTTGCAATCCATGCTCTCAGTAATGGAAGTAAATGTGGGATGAGCCGCCACCATGTTCACCGGAGTTAGTACAGTGGTAGTCTAATCTCAGCTTTTGTAGTGAAAGCTTGCAGGAGTCAGGCAAGGGTTTCTCTCTTTTGCATGTACCTCTGTGCAGTTGATTTGGAGAAGAGTGTCCTCTGGCGTATTGGGAAGTGGTGGTATTGGCAACTTCCTGCAGCTTCTAAGAAGCCATTCGGGAAGCTTTCCCAGAAGTGAAATAGGCAGCTGGAGGGCAGTGCAAGTAGCCGGCTGGGATGCTTCAACCAGGGCTGAAAGCACTGTGTTAGTGAGTACGGTCATTGTGCATGGGCTAGTTCTGTGCTAGTGATTCAATCCTGAACAAGGCAGTCCAGCCAGTAAGAGACACTGGCAGATAATTCCAGACCCAGATGGCTACTCCTGTAGAATCTGGGTTCCTGAACACTTTCTACTGTTCCGAATCTAGGGAAATAAAACTAATACTTTGCAATTACCATAATAAAGTCCTGGATATATCTGGGATGTTTGCATACTCTGCTAATAGAATCATGTTGGAAACAGAAGAGTTCAAACTGAAAGTTTTCTGCTCCAATTTCTATTCACATTGACCGTATTTGATATCTACCTCTGGCCTGGTCCTGAGACCTGTTTGTGCCTTAAAGTCTACAAGTCACTTTCAACCTGCAAAATACGTGGGCTGGAAACACAGCTGAGCTTTCTTTTGTGGCTTGACGGGGGGGAAGTAACTTGGTTTTGTTGCAGTTGTGCTTAATATGCACAGTAATTCTTTACTTTTTCTGATTCAAGGTCCATGATTGCTTTCTCAGATTTCTGGTGGGTGGAAGTTTATAGCTGAGTCAGGCTGGAAGCATTTCCAGGCTAAAACTGCTTATGTGGGTATGTATATATACTTCAAAGAGAGGAAAGGACTCGTGTATGTATCTCTGCCTTTTCTATATTTAGCGGATACTCCCCCTCCTGCTTACCTGCCTCCGGAAGATCAGATGACACACGATACCTCCCAGCCTATGGATACCAACATGATGGCACCTGCAATTCCCCCTGACATACACAGAGGAGGTAAAAACACTTCCTTCTTGTATTCTGGTTTGCTTCTTAAGAGTAAAGAACTTTCACAGCTTACTTTTCATAACTGAGTTTTAATTGTATGTTGTTTATGGAAATCTTTAGCAGTAGAAAAGGAAAAAAAAACAGGTAATTTTTATCCGTTGTTCTAAGAGATGAAAATGTAAATCTGGAGCTAAATAATTATAAATCTAAATATTTATTTAGAACAAGAAGCTATCACATGACTCTTTAAAAATGTAAAATGTATGGGGTTGATTACTTTATTGCTCCCAACCAACAAAATAACCAAAATTATTTTATGTTTTGTATCTGGAACTTCCACTAATCACCGAATAGAAATAATTCCTATGATGCTGCACATTTCTGCATGCCATGCTGAAATTACATGTGTGCAAGGAGAGGAATCTCTTTCTCTCTTATGATTACAGTGATTTAATGGAACAATGCAGTTAATGCTATATAAAGCCTACTGAATTGTGGATGACAGTAGATGTGGTCAAGTATAACTCTCCAAGCAAAGACTTGGATTAGAGGATTGATGCTAATACTGTCAGTTATGTAAACACCCAGAGACATTTTACACGGGCAGCTGGAATATCTGTGTTTTTTTCTTTTGAGACAATGCATCTCATAAAATTGTCTTTCATTATTATATTTTTGTCCTGAATTCAAAATTTCAGTCCTTAAAGAGTATGCTCTGCTTTTAATAATTTACCCTTCTCCTGGTCATAAGGGCATTTGAGGGGTTTTGTGTTGTTCCATCTTTGAGTCATACAGTGATAGCACTTGGTTCAGAATTCAGAGCTGTCTGCCTGCAGTGTGGAATTGCTACAGACTTTAACATCTGTATTAAAAAAACCCCTATTGCTTTATGTACTATGACACAGACATCTTTTTACACACAGCTTTTTAAAGCCTTTGCAGCCAGCCGTGACTGCTGAGTAAAGGATTTAGTGCATTCATCACATTGTGAGAAATAGCCCCTTTAGAGAACACATAAGCTTACACAGTTGTGGCCCATGCCAAGAAAGAGCAGCAAGCTGGATGCTGTGCCAGAATGATTATCAAGATATCAAGATCACAAGCATATGAACAATTTAACCGCTGTTTGATTCTCTTTTTTTTTTTTTTTTAAAAACTATTTAACCGTTGTTGGTTTTTTTTTTTTTTTTTTTTTTTTTTTTTTTTGTGTGTGTGTGTGCTTGTTTTGTTGCTAAGCTTAATGTCTGGTTTCAGGAAGTATGTTTGCCCTCTTAGAACAATTTGAGTAGTTTTTGTGCTAACCTGTTTGCTCTCTGCGTGGAATGAGTTTTGCATGTGATAAACCCCATCTGTAGCATTTCCACTCTTCCCAGATCCAATACACTCTGTGTGAATGTATAGTTCTTGCTGGCCCAGAGTAAATTTATCAATGTTTATGCCTAACTGCAGACTTTTGCATGTATGTCCCTCTCACAAAATACACGAGTACTGCAGCATTCATCTATTACATGAAAGTTGATAAAGATAAAAGGGTTTACACTTTTTCTTCCTTTTTAACATTCAACCATTTAAAAATAAAAATTGTGTCTATTAGTATTTTTCTCTCCTAGCTGTTTAGTACAATGGATTTTCACCTCAGTCTCTTCATTAAAAAAAAAAAAAGATACCTTACTTCTGTGTGCCTTCATGTGTTTATTATTCATATATGTATGCTGTAATTGCACTACTTCTACAACCTGCAGCAGATTTTTTTTTTTTTAAAGAAGAGTTTTTACTACCAACTTACTGCAGCATTTTTTTTGCAAATTTTTTAGGAGCATGTTCTTCACAGTGATTTGTTAGTCTTAAGAGATTCGATTTAACAAGCTTCATCCTGTCAATGAAGTTGGGTGATTTCCATTGTTGGCTCGTGCTGGGAATAGAGAGACTAAATGCACCTGCTCTGCATGACTTAAAGCAAATGTAAGGAAGTTAGTATGAAATCTGTGTGAGAGAGATATGATTCATTCTGTAAGAATGGACAGTTGGCAAGATTTCTTCCTGACTTTGAGAACTGCGGCAAAGCTGCAGCTTTGATAATTGCTGGCATCTTCATGGGAATGAAAAATGTAGTAACCTCTTACTAATAATTAATGACTGATTTATTTAATTTTTGTTTTGTTTTTTTTTTTTACAATGACGTGAATAGATGGAAAATGCTAGAGTATCAGGAAAGATCAGCTCCTTTTTACCGGTGTTTTAAGCAAGTTGTTGGTCAGCAGTAGACACTACGCTCAGAAGTCTTGCACAGTGATGTAGGATTTGTTATCATGCTTTTGATTACTTGCCACCTTTTGTATCTGCTGTGTACTGCTGGTTTGGAGGGGACTTTTTGTTTTTTGTTTTGCACATGTCAGAAAACTCGTAGCGGTATCACCTGTGAACAAAGGAAGATAGGAACACTTGTCTTGGCTGATTTCAGTAAAGACTTGGGGCTGGGAGAAGAAAACCTCTGGTCAGAGAAACAAGCTTTCCTGTAATACCAGTCTGATTTTCATTTTAGCACTTTGACCTGTAGTTGGAGCTTTAATCTGGAAAGTTGGTATCTGAGCAGCAAGTCCAGCTGTGCCAGGCTTAGCAGTGAAATAGTCTCCTTCATTGAAAAGAAATCACATAAAGCAACCACATCCCTTCACTAGCGTCCTTTTATTTGGAGGCAGTTTAATTTTGTAGCTGGCACTTCAAAGAATGCACGCTGGGTGGAGATATCTGAAGAAGCCTATACTGTTGTTGGACATCCACTGGGAAACTCTTTTTGGTAAAGACCTTCGGTATCATTTGGAGAAATGTTCCCCATGCACAGTCACAAGTGTTACCTCAAGACTTAGGTGTGTTTCTAGAGCTTGATGGGTAGAAGTCATGAACCAGGAATTTCCTGTCTGCATTCTGCACAATTCCCAGCTTCAGTTAGGAGCTGCTGAGGAGCAGCTGCTTGTTACCAGAGTCTGGAAAACCATGTTCTGAGAAGTTCTGGCTATTACTCAACGAGTAATTCTTTTGGTGATGAACAGTTGCAGATTTTGCATTTGGTAGCACTTGATGAATAAAAGGTTCTCATTAAATAATATCTTCCTCCATTTCATTTGCTCTTCAGCCCAGCGTAATTGTTAGGATCCTGTGCATTATGCTTCCGATCCCAAGCAGTATGTATTCATATTGAAGATGTGCTTCATGCACGTTCTGCAGACAAATGTCAGTCTCTCAGGAGAGCCCAGGAGAAAGATTGGTACATTCCCTGAATCCTGAAAGATTGATCTACTGACTGTATATTTAAGCTACCTTGCTATACTTCTTTTTACTCAAAGTTACAAATGGTCTGTTGTGCAGTTGTGTGATGCTGTTTCTCCCTGTCACTATACAATGTTGCAGTAAGCACAGAGATGACTTGTAATGTGGTAGCTGAGTAAAATGAACTGAAGTAGAAGTTCATTTACTAAATTGGAAAGAATGCTGAGCTATGTAATTGCGGTATTACTCTGCTGTCCGGGCCCAACCATAGCATGTTGTAGAAAGTGTGCCAGGGATATTAGGGTGCTGCTTGGTATGTGCCTGGGAGCTTCCTGCACTTCTCTGTGCACATCTAGTGCCAACCTTTGTCTCCTGTGAGACTTGTGCAAGTAAAGTTGAGGTGAAATTATTCTGTGATGTGTCTGTGGCTATGAAAATTTAAAAAATAACTGAAGATAGAAGAGCCTTCATTTAGCTGCATTTGCTTATCCAGCTCATCTTTCAGTGATCTTCAGCCAAAGTCTGCAGGTTTATAAACCTTTACATCTCAAGCCTGTGTTCCAGAGCATTTAGATTGTAATGTTTCCATTGTTGCTTTACAGACGTTCAGGCAGTTGCTTACGAAGAGCCGAAGCACTGGTGCTCCATTGTCTACTATGAGCTGAATAATCGCGTCGGGGAGGCGTTCCATGCTTCTTCCACCAGCATCCTTGTGGATGGCTTCACTGATCCTTCAAACAACAAGAACAGATTTTGCCTGGGGCTGCTCTCAAATGTTAACCGCAACTCCACCATTGAGAACACTAGGCGACATATTGGCAAAGGTGAGTTTTGGATGTTTGCATCAATTTTTGTGTTGGGGGAGTGGCGTTTCCCATAGACACAACAACCTGCGCTGCTTGCCTCGAGCAGGCTGGTCTTCCCAAGTACATGGGATAAGTGCTTGTGTTGATAAAGATATATTTTTCTGGCCAGGTCTTATAAGCGAAGTATTGTTCTTACCTGATATGTAATTACAGGAAGCTTTTACCCTTAATCAATTTTTAATTGTCCGAAGGCTATCATAATCTTAATTGGAATGAGAGCTTAAGGCAGTTTGTCTAATGAAATGTCTTGATTTATCTTGATTGTTGGTGTATATTGAAATGAAAATTATAGTCCTTGGCACCAAATTTTTAGCTAGCCTTAGTTCCAACATAAATTAGCTATCCTAACATGTATTTAGACAGACAATCTCCTAAAACAGTTTTTCCAAATTAATTTGTCACAGACTGGTGATTCTTTCAGGGGGAACTTTGTGCTTCCCTTCTGTGGCTGTGACAGTGTCCTGCAAAAGAGAAAAGCTGCTGGTTTTTGTCTGACAATACAGTCCTCTTTTCTGAGAACTTGCCTATAAGGCAAGTGACAGGCAAAACTGACATTACCCCCTGCAATGGGACATTCCTGCCAGACAAATTTTGTAGGTGTTTGCTTTATTAGTAAACTCTAAATTTTCCGAGACACTTGAGGGTTCAGCATGCCCAGGTAGTGTGGTGTATGTTGTAAGTGCCCATTAATGAAGTATCTTCCTCCTCCTTAGAGGAAGAAAGGATTGAAACTGAAGAGAACTGTCAGGTCTTCAAGTTTCAGCCCTTGGTCTGGAGAGCTTTTCTCTACGTGAGGACTTGTGCAGCTCTCAGCAGTACACCACAGCTGTGCTGTGCCACTCAAGTCCTAATACTTCTTACTTCTTTTCCTCCCCATGCATCTTACCAAGTATCAAGATATTTATTCAACACCTCATTCATTTTCCTGTTAAAAGTAACCCAGCTACAAGCAAAGTTCTGCTGAAGCACTTTGCTGTGTGTGCACCAAAGGAGAGTGTGGAAGAGACAAGGATGCTTTGGAATAAGTACAAGTGTACAACTAATTATGATGTAGAAAACTTAGTCTTTGAAGAAGGAGGAGTAAACCCCAAACTTGAAGGCATAGCCATAAATGGTTTTGCATATCAGTTGGGAGTATATGTATACCCACACAGGTACATGCATAGTCAGCGACAAAACCTTATGTGACAGACCACAGTCTAAGGCTTTCTGACTTATACTTCAGTTTTGCTTTTAAGTTCTCTGTGTTCATTTCTCTGACTTGTGACATTGTGGGAGGTGAAAGCTTTAATCAGCAAATAATCCATTTTTAAACACAAAAGGCACATTTTCTTGCTTTCTCAAAGCCTTTGGAATTGAGCCCTACTGACAGCAAATCTCCACAAAGGTTCCATGTATGTCACTCTTCTGGCGCTTGCTGCCACCAGTGGCAGGTGAGGGAGCAGGCAGTAGAAGGGGAAAGGACTGCAAAATTGGTGTGTACCCTCGTTTGACAGATACATTTGAGGAATATAGAATCAGTTAACTTGGAAGAGACCTTTAAGATCTATGAGGTCCCTTCCAGGCCAAATGACTCTATGGTTCTATGATCATCGAGTCTACCACTTCGAAGGCCACCACTAAGCCATGTCCCTAAGCACCATGTCTCCATGTCTTTTACATACCTGCAGGGATGGTGACTCAACTACTTCCCTGGGCAGCCTGTTCAAGTGCTTGATAACCCTTTCAGTGAAGGAATTTTTCCTAATACCCAATCTAAACCGCCCCGGCACATCTTGAGGCTATATAAGGGCCATTTTCTTTTTCCAGCTTTTTGGAATTAAAGCTTGCTGAAAAAACTCATGCTACCCAAAATAGTATTCAGGGCTTTTCAAGAGAATCCAACTTGGGGCTGCTTTAGTATCTACATATTATACAGTAGGTTTCTGCTTTCTTCTTTTGCATTGCCAATTATTATTTTACATAAATATAATGAGAAAAAAGTTCAAGTGGTCACGCTAGCCAATGTACTGCATCAAAACTAGTGCAGTGCTTGCTAGTTTATTGTTGTTGAATGTACAACATGTTAAAATGCAGGAATTATCAATTTCCCTTATGTACATACATATACACCCTCCTTTCAAATTCCACCCTGCTGATGAAACGGAAAAGCAAAAGTCAAGTTTGAAGACAGACAGCTGGTGGTCTGATGTGCAGTTAATGTTTAACTCTCTAAGCGGAAACATACGTCTGTGGAGACAGAGCATGAAAAATAAGTGCACAGTATGAATTCGTCTAACCTCCTTATGTCAACCTTCTCCTCCTAGGTGTTCATCTCTATTATGTTGGTGGGGAAGTATATGCTGAATGTCTTAGTGACAGCAGTATTTTTGTACAAAGTCGTAACTGCAACTACCATCATGGGTTCCATCCCACCACAGTCTGCAAAATCCCCAGTGGCTGCAGTTTGAAGATTTTTAATAATCAAGAGTTTGCTCAGCTTTTGGCTCAGTCAGTGAACCATGGCTTTGAGACAGTGTATGAGCTTACGAAGATGTGCACTCTCCGTATGAGTTTTGTAAAGGTACGTGAAAATTTGGTTGAGATTAAGAAAAAATAATTCATTTCGCTTACAAAATAGTGTGGTGAGTTTTAATTGTCCAGTATCTCCCTCCATTGGCCTTTTAATAGCTGTTGAATTTTAAGTATGCAATGATATTTGTTAAGTGTAAGACAGATCTTAATGAAAGAAAATTGTCTTTGTGGACAAAAATCCATCTGATGCGCATACTTTGAAAGCTTGAGGTAACTTGGAAAAGGTGTTTCTTCACAAAAGTCAGTAGTCACTTGTGAAGCGTTTCTGTCATGTCTGTTAACTATTCTAACTTCATTGAATTGCCCCTTGTAAATTTTTACTGTTTTCAGTTGAATTTTTATATTTAATATGTGTATAGATAGTGTGTGTGTATATATATAGAATTATTTGCATAATTGCTCTGGAATTACGGGGCTTGTCTTTTTAATTTTGTGGGATATGGCAAAATACAGTACAGGTAAGTTTTGAAAAGAATTGAATCATTAATTACTTGGCCTAAAAGTGGAAAAGCCACCAATTAATTATGTAACATCATGTTTTGCTCCTTTTTTTGCCCATTGTTACGGTCCATGCCAGCTCCTGCTCTGTAAGAGACCCAGCTGAACTTCATGCTTCTGTTCCTAGGTGGTATTTTTGGGGAGCTGAGCTGGGACTGCAGTGTAAGTCATTATAGCGGTTGTGGAAGTGTAGATAGCATAATCCTCTAAATCTGTCTTGACCAGCATCCCCCAGATTAAGAGCTACAGTAATTATTTAGAATAATATACGTTCCTTTCTTTTCGGGGGGGGGCATGCAAGGTAGAGATTTGTGATGTGGCTGTGAATGTCAACGTGTGTACTGATGTAAAAGGGCTGGTCACATACATGAAAGTAGTCAAAAGAAAATGGTAATATGATGAAATCCTCTTCTTGATAGGAGGAGGATGGAAACTTTCAGATGTGCTAGGACAGGGGTTCCTAAAATGGAATAGATTGTTTATAGCTCTGCATCCTATGGAGTTGTACAGCAGTGTTGCCTGAACAGTTGCACAGGACCTCCTGTGTATTGGATGTTGCACTGCACAGTGTTTAGAGCTGCTGCCAACTGTGTTGGGAGCTGGGTGACCCCTTCATTATGGGTTAATATAGAGCAGAGGAAGGTGTAGCTGCAGCTATCGTTAGTCATGTCTCCAGACCTGCCCCAAAAATGGTTGATTTACAAAATTATTTTGATTCCTGTTTAAATATCTGCTTACATCTTTGATAGTTACTGTAACTGAATTGAGTATGATCTGAAACAAAACCTCTCTTGTCTTAACTTGAGAAATAGCCTGCTGGGGAATGACCATGCCCTCTTTCTCCAAAGAGGAATGTTTCTGACTTATTGCTTGGTTTATTGTGTCCGTCCTGCGAATGATGCTTTGGTTCTTGTCAGACAGATGCCTCACCCTCACTTCCATAATGTCAGTCTATGACCTCATTTTTTAATTTGTTAATCTGTTTGGCCGCATTTCCCCCCAGTTTGTTCTATTTTTGGTCTTGGCAGAGAAGACTTGAGTATCACCCCTTTCAGAGGCTTTATTGGGACATGATGCAGCTGGCAGTGAGGTATGGGGAAATTTTGCACTGCCACAGGTTATGTCTTTAGGAATTTAAAGACTTCCATTCCAAGAGATCAAGAGATCTCAAAATGACACTTCGTCCAAATTTTAACTTCTTTTTTTTTTTTTTTTCCCAACTTCGTATTTGTTTGTTGAAGTGTGATAATGGATGGTGCATCAAGGGTGTTATGCTACCCTGCTGATAATGACTGTTGGAAGCGAGAGTATTTTGGTAAGAAAGATGATGGGTGAAGTATGCTTCTCATGTATTTGATATTACAAAATAAGGTGACTTTTTTTTCTTTCCCCACTTCTGATTCTGCTTCCAGGGTTGGGGAGCTGAATATCATCGCCAAGATGTAACGAGCACTCCATGCTGGATAGAGATACATCTTCACGGTCCCCTTCAGTGGCTGGATAAAGTACTTACTCAGATGGGCTCTCCTCATAATCCTATATCTTCAGTGTCTTAAAAGGTCCCAAGCTTCTGCATTTTGGAAACAACTGAGCCCTGCATGTACTTGAAGGATGTATGAGTCAGACAGACACATCCCCCCCCCGCCCTGAACTGGCAACAGCAGAATAAGAGCCATGAAAATGCTTGACTTCTGTGACCAACTGTTGGATTCAGAAAAAAAATAAATAACCCCCTTTGACGTACTGTTGGTATCAAGAATTTTAGTTTGCATTGTAATATACTATTGCAATGTTGATTTGCAGGGCTTAATGCGACGGAGATGACTGAGCCAAAACCACAATCTGTCGGACCGTGTTTGCAAAGGATCTTCCTGTAGCTGGCACTCTGAGATTCTCTTTCTTCCTTACGTTCAGTGCTCGCTGTTTTCCATGTGTCCTCTGGGGCTAAGAGCCAACGTTGGTGAAGTCTGCTTTTTGCAGGCTCTGTGCAGTACATTTGAAAACCATTTGTGCAAGTTGATGGTTGCTGCTCTCTTTAAGAGGGGAAAAAAAAAGAAGTAATAAGGTTTAATCTCAATAACTGTGTAACAATCTTTGAAATTGTGTCCTGACCATACTGCTGTAAGAATGTTAGGTATGTTTTTTGCTAAATGTATGTATTGTGTATTTGAAAGTTTAGAAATTAATTAGATTTAGACCATAAAGGAATTAGAAATATTTGAATTTGGGGAGGTGGGAGTGGGAAGGCAAAATGACAACCAAAATGTAGAATATATTGTAAACTTAGCTTTTTAGTTTAAACTGAGGTCTGAGTTTTGCTGTGCATTTCATTTTTATAGTGGCTTCTTGTTAATCCTGACTATTTTTGACTCTTCATTTTTCCCCAAAACAATTGTGCAGCTGGTTAATTCTTTTACCTGTGAAGAGGACAAAACAATTAATTCCTGCAGTTGTAAGGCTGCAGCTCTATGTATTTTAAGACAAAATTGTACAGAGTGCTCTTTAACTATTGAGCAGTTTTATACAGTTTATGTAACAGAAGTAGGCTTTTAATTTTGTAAGAGAATCTTGTTTTGCCAAACCTAGTAACTGTTAATTGTTTGGAGGACTTCAAAATCCCTATGTGGGTCTATTTCAAACTTCAAAAAATATATATTTTTAATTTTTACTTTTTTTTTACTGCTTGGTTTATTTTATTCTCTTTGATCTTTTATATTCACGTAAGCTGTAGTACTTTAAGTACCTTTATTCCAAAACTGGTGAGTCCTCTTTACTGGAAGTTTTGAATAAAACCTGTTGTTACTGCTTATATTTGATTAAAACCTTGTCTTGTCCACTTCTTAGTAGACTCTTAACAAACCACATAAAGGTATAGTCTTGGAGGAGGATCAACTAGAAATGAAGATAAGCTGACCGTAGACATTTATGATTAGTACAGGTTAGTAACCCTACTAAACTTAGTATATGAGATAAATGAGTACTCTAGAGAGAAAGATTTCTTAACCCGGCAAGTCTAGAATGGATGCAGTAACACTGAAGTATCCTGGCCACTTAGTTGAATTTCTGTGAGATTTCAACATACAATATCTGTATGAGAAGAGATTTTGCTGAGGTTGCACCATCAGCGGACTCTCGCTGCTCCTTGCCATGGCTGTGGTGAAAAGCCTCCATGCTCCTTTCCCCCACACCTCTGCTCTGGGGAGAGGTGAGGGAAGGACAGTCCCTTTGCAGCTGCGAAGTGTTTTGTCAGGTGCTGGGATGATGGAGTTTGAGAGACTGGGAGTTGACTGGAGATTCAGTGCCTGTGCCTGGTTATAATGGACCATGCAGCACCAACAGTAGCATGAGGGAAAGCTGAGCAACAGAGATGAATGTGTGTTCAGCCAGATGTATGCATGTGTATGTCACTGTCGTGAGAAATAGCCCTTTTTGGAGAGTAAGTCAATCCCATCTCTTTTTGGTTGTTGTTGTTGTTAAAAGTTAATTCCATTGCTTGGTTTCGTGTACATTTTTAAAACTAATCCTTCTTCCCCTGCTAAGAGGAAAAAAATTCCATAATGTTCAAGTTCTCTGTTTAGTAGAACTTAGTGACTTTTTTATATTTGCAAGATGCAAGAACTTTTTTTTTAATTCCGTTTAACATACATTTTTCATAAAGAAGCAGTCATATTACAAATGTAAGTCTTAAAAATAAGTAAAATTTTAAAATGACCAAAAAAAGAAAGAATGCTGTTTGCGGTTCAGTCACTGTCTCTGTTTTTTCCATCTTCAGCCCTTGCTACATTAAATCCCAGCTGTTCCCAACCAGTTTCCTTCCTTCTTTTGGAATACAGCACTGAGGTAGTGACTTTTTTTTTTTTTTTTTAAATCAGTGCTGTAACCATCCATCTTGCAAGTCTTAAGGGTGTTTCTGTTTGGATGTTTTCATATTTGGATGATCCTGCACAAGTTGTGGTAAACACTGTAATAGCTTTGGAGGAGGAGAAGACAGTTTTATGTTGTGATTGTTTTTGAATGTTAGTGTCTTGTATGTTTTGGGCTGTAATGCCTCTGTGTTTTTCCAAAATGGGGATTAAAATCAGAAAATACTAGCTCTGCACTGTCTCAGAAATTTTCAGTGGTAATACTTCTGTGGGGTCCTAGTTTTTGTGAGTTCCTTCTGTTTGTATGCTGTTGATACTGTTGAAGTGCAGCGTACACAGTATTTTCTTTATCTGTTACCCAGCTTTTTGTTTGTGTTGAGGAGACATTAGGTGTAAGAAAGAAGTGTATCTTCATGTGATGGCACAGAGTATCCCAGCTGCACTTTATTAAATAAGCTGAGTGGATTGGAGTAGCACCTGAGACTAATAGCCAGAAAAATAGGAAGTAGAACAGAAGTTGCCTTGGAGGAGGCAACTGCTAGCTTGAGGCTCTTGTGAAGATTTTTTTGAGCATCTTGGAGAAGTTTTCTTACTGATTTGCCCAACTTCAGATAGTTGGAGTCATAAAGCTGGAAAAGGCATGGGACAAGACAGAAGAAAAAGATTTTCTTGCGGACCCCTCACAAAACAGGGGATGATGAGAGCTAGAAACTCAGAGCGAGCCTACAGTGTCAACTCCATAATCAGGTGAGTCCCTGCTGCGTATTTGGTTTTATTTCCCCATAGTTTCCTGGGTCTAGTCTTCTGAACAACAGAGTTAAACACAGAAGACACTACTTCAAGGTGAAAAGCCAAGATGATCCCTGTTAGGAGAAACTGAAAAGGTAGGTATAACTGTTTTAGAAAAAGAATTGAGGAAGAGCAATGAACAGTACACGTGGAGACAAATACTTCCATGGAGCTGAATGTGTTTTGAAATCTGTGCTTTGGTTTTGAAGTGCTGGAAAGAAAACAATTCTCCCCAGTTGGAGATGACTTTTTTTAACCATTTAGAAGTCTCTGGTGAACCTTTAATAGACTTGATGAAAGCTAAGAGAGGTAGTCATTGTTAGTTGTGTGGATTTAGGAAGGTATGGAAAGAAATAAATTGTGCTTAAACATATTCTGTATCAGAATCATGGATCTGATCTTCTAATGCTCACTAACCTGGTATTGCTATGTAATTTGATAAAGCCATTCCCTTACTAAATCACTTCTCTTGCTATTGTAGCTATGTTTTCACAACTGCAGTTGTCTTTTCTAGCCTCAAAGAATGCAGTTCTGTGAGTACTGTTGTTTGAAGACAATAAATCAATACAGAGACATCTGAAATTTATATGTCCCTTTCCTGGTATGCCTATCTCCTTGATTTTTCCTTTGTCTTGTCTCACTTTAAACTTTTAGTAGGTATCTTGGAAGTTAGCTGTGTTTTGATGGTCTCTTTATTAATTGCTGCTGGTTTGTTCTGTTCAGCACACTGTAGCCTCTTATTCTGCTCTTGAGATTCATGATTCATAACTGTGAACTGGCAGTCACCTTTTTCTGGATGCCTGCCTAAATATACAACATAACTCTGCCGTCACCAGCCATGGTAGAGCAATATATTTTTTACATGCATCATCTCTCAGTTCATTTTCTTCAAATACATTTGTAATTCTGTGCAGGAGAGAAGTGAAAATGGCTCTTAGTTTACTCTGTCCCCTTCTGACCTTGACTTAAGCAGCTCAACAAAGAGAGACACCCTTGTCATGTTATCCTTTTAGGGGATGTTCTCTCTTTTCTGTTCCCTAAGCTGCTGTCCCCAACTTCTATGTTCTTGATGACTTTCCTTATTTTTTTGAATTCTTTCCAAGGACCTTTTTGTCTGATTTTTTTCTCCTACCTGGTGGACACTATATGTTTCAGTCAGACAAAAAACCCTTTACAGTATGCTTGCCAAAGGCAGGTAAAGAATTATGGGTTGCTGTAGGCACTGGAAGCCACCCATGAAGATACACCTGCTTCACAGGCACCACTTTTTCAACCCCTGCTGTCTCAAATGCCTTTTGGAAGAGAAAGGTGCAGTGAGACAGATTTGTGCTACTAGATTTCACTTTTGCTTCGGATTATTGTTTTAAAAGTTCTCCCAGTTATTAAGATTCCCTTCCCTCCTCTCTACCGTGGTATGTCACTTGGTTTGCATCTGACTGAAATGACAGAAATTGTCAGCCAGGGTGCTCAGGCTTTGTGTTTAGCGCTTGTGTTCCCTGACTGCTGCTTTCAGCTTCACAAGCAAGCCTTGCACTTGTTCTCGTCACCTCTCTTTCCCAACAGGCTCCAGAGTAAATCACTTGTGTGCTTTGCAGAATGATGTACTCCACACTCGCCTTGGTGACTTCCTCAGAGGGCAAACCCCTGTGGGCCAAAGGAAGCTGAGTAGCTGGGACCTGGTGCTCATTTGCAGGGTTGCTGATACGTGCAGGCTGGCTGAAGTGGTCCGCGTTCCCAGGGGCTGCCTTCCTCGTCAGGTGCTGTGCTTGTTCTTGTGCCACTGCAGGTCACACGTCTGTGTGGTGCAGCAAGCTGCCACCAGTTTGTTTCTGTACGTTCACATGCTGCAAACTGCTGAGGTGGAGAGCTCGGGTTTCCCACTTTTATTTGGTTTAGTTGAGGTGGCTCCTCTTTCATTCATCCCAGCTGTGGGAGATGATGATTCTTCAGCTGCAACAGCTACATCTGACAAGGTATGTGGTGAATTGGTTTTCATGAAGCAGTTGCGATGGAGAGACAGCCTCCTGATCAAACACAAAAGTAACTCCAATAACATTTCTAATGTAGGCATCCCCTGGGCTTGATGTGGGTACAGAGATGAGCGGGTCTGTTGCAGTGAATGGACAACATGGGTGTAGTTTTTACTTGGGTCCGATAAATGCTTTACAGTTAAAAATGGCACATGGATCCTCAGTGTATGTTAACCTGTCACGTGCAGCTGAAGTCATCAAAACTAATGTCAAACAACCTCCCAAATTTTGCCAACACTCCAAAAGTCTCGAATTTGATTTGGTCATCTTTCAGGAATGTAAGAAATCTTATTCTAATGGGTGCAGATTCCTAGTTTTCTCTTAGGAATTGGTTTGCAATTTCCCCTTTTCATCCTGTTGCAAAGGTAGGAGTTGAAAAATCTATATCGTCTCTTCATGATCTTGCCAGCTCATCTGAAACTTTAAATCTGTAAAGCTTAGAGGAGGCTGCTGTAGGTGAATTTTGAAGAGGTGAGCACCTTCACGTGCTTCACATTGTAGACAGGACTTAAGATCTCTCTTAGCAGTGATAAAAAGCTGCCAGTTAGATCTCTGTATTGTAGTAAATGTAAAATGATCTATAATTGTATTACAGAGGGGACTCTGCACATGCCAAACAGGCTTTCCTTGCTTGGAGAGTTTGGTTTAAGTGGACAGGTCACTTACTTAGACGTGATGGGAACAGCACAGTTTGCCTTTGTAAAGAATATTCTGATTTTCCTATTGCAGGATCTTTCTTTCCCCAGTATCCCTGTAACATATCAGAACATTCTTTTATATGAAAACATTCTTTTATATGAAGAAAAATGGTGTGCCTAACCTTCCCTTCCCTTCCCTTTCTTACATGATTTCGAACTTCTTGGTTTTCTGTGCCTTTAGATGATGGAGTCGAACTTAGTACAAGCACAAGAATGAGACTTGCTGTGTGTAGTGCTGCAGTAAGACTTACTATTTTGCCAGAGCACTTGGTTCTTGGCAGGAGAGCAGGGGTCT